ACGTATTTACAACAACATTTATAGTTACCTGTAATTTGCTCTAAAATTATGCCAGTGGAATAGATTATAAATTAAAGAACAATATAAGCGACGGGCCAATTTCAGCCAAAAACACGTCGACAGAGTTGGTATCTTTATAAACAGCGATTTGTTTATTTAGCACTCGAGAAAAATAAACTCAAAAACTTTACCTAAAACGGTGGTTTGTTCCCTTAACAATAAAGGTAGGGTAATTTTTAAGTTAAAATTGATAGATTTAAATGAATCAAAACAGAAGTAGAGACCAAACACTTCGAGTTTTGTCCCAATAGCGTGTGATTTGCAATAGGAATACAGCAAAGAAAATAGCCGAACTCCGTGAAAATGCACGCTGTATATTTTGGTCTGGCGCGCTCGCTTTTCACGGGCCAAAAATAATGTTTTTACATGATAAACATGAAGAATTGCTCGTTGAAAAGAGCTCTTTTATTTTATGTACATTCGTATACCCCCGATGTTATGGTCGTCTGAAATATGGCAAAATTCAGCGTACAAACGGAATACAAAATATAATGTACTTTACGCGGGTGGTTACAAACGAAAGAAAGTTTAGTTGGAGAGGAAATATAGTTGGAGAGCTATTCCAAGGGATGAAAAAAATGAATCCAAGATAATTTTTCGTTGTCTAGTACGAGCGTTGTGAAAATGCACTGAAAGCCCGATATAAATTATGCAAATTAGGTACGTTTTGGCCGATTTCGAACTTTCGTATTTTTTGCCAAAATAAAAACTCGCTGGAACTTTTGAATATTATTTTTGAAAACAATTCACCAAAAGGGTCTTTTGGAGCAAATAAAAAAAGTTGAATTTTTGCTTGTGTCGCCGGATTCTTGAAAATTACTGACTTCTCTTAAGTTCTAGGCTTCTTCATGTACTATAGTGTATACGTGCGCACAAACTGGTCTATTTCGCTGATTGAGATTGGTACACTGAAAGATGTCGGTCCTCAACAAATCACACAGAAATAAATCATGTTTAACTGTACACCAAACTGCTCATCGAGAGGGTCAAAATGCATTTACAACTGTCCTGTTCTATTTTAGAATCGATCAATTTTTTATGAGCATTATATGAGTTCGGAGATGTCGGTTTACGTTATATTCGATGAAACACCCTCGAGTAACTGCCGTATTTTAAAGCAAAAATATTGATAAACGCCGCCCCCGAATAAATGCCAAATCATTACGCGACTCTTATTCGAATAATAGACTCAAAAAAGCAGACCGATGACTACTGAGGGCCTGTTTTCAAGGAGATGGGGAGCCCCAGATAGGTGAAGTAACCCGCCTAGCTGGGTAACCCGCCTGTCCATATAATCTATTATTTCATCTTGATCACGTTTACATGATAGGTGGGGCGACCCGTCTAGGCGGGTTGCCCAGTCTGCTGGGTAGGGTAACCCTGTCAGCAAGGGGGCAACATTGCCATGTAAACGTCTCAAGGTCGGTTAACCCGCCCACGCGGGGCGCCGTTCATGTTACAAAAGGATCAAATAAGGAAAACAACAGCGAAACACGAGTGTGTTAAGACTTTGTACATTTCTTGGTCTTCCCATGCAGAGCTAAAACGTTAAAACATCAATTTTTACATCCACTTAGCAATAAAACCTCGACAGCGATTTAGTCACGTTTTTACTTTTAACTCAACACTACATTCACACGTTATGCCAAAGTGAAGACGTTGTACTGTCAGAAACGGTTAACGCATCGAGCTATTGGCCAAAATCTTAGAGGAAAATTAATTACGTTTTTTCTGCAACGTTTTTACGACACGTCCTAGTGACATCTTAAACTCCTTAATTGCAAGTGTGATAACAACCTCGAGAAACTTCATCCTGGCATCCCGGGGTTGTAAGATTGTATGTAAACGCTGGCTATTTTTAGCCCACGGTTAGGCGGGTCACCTCACCTACCTGGGGTCCCCCACATTCATGTAAACAGGCCCTAGGGCAATGAAATACAGGTTGGTGGTTGATTACTATTAGCCTGGAACTTCTTCGACTGCAAAACTGAAGATAGTATTGCTTACGTATTGCAGTCGGAAAAAAAATCGATCAAGTAATAGTGCCAGAAGGGTCCACCAAGTATATCCAGGCACCGGACGTTTCTTGGAACAAGCCGTTCAAGGCCACTTGCACTTAAAAGGAATGATTGGCTGGGTACCGTGGGAATTCACGAAGAAACAGCTGCTGAAATTTGAAATTATCCCCGAAAAGTACCATTTTGGAGTGAATTCTTGATTCTTGAGCAGAGCTACCCACAGAGGTAATAAAAAAAACTCTCTCGAGCTGCATGTTGAACCTTCCCGTGGACGACATGATTCACTGCCCCAAGGAACGACAGCCTTGTGGCAGTGCACGATTATTGCTTCTATCGCAGTTGCAAGTTCTGAGTAAGCAAGGCACAAATCCCTTTGAATGTACCGGTTCTGATTTTGAGAGAGCACATCCGTCATTATATCTTTTGGATTCGGATCATGAAGAGGACAGAGACATTGAAATTGGGTGAACTATGTTCACTTTATTTCACATTAAGTATTGCAGTAGTATTAACACGCAGATTGTGAAATTGAGGACAAGCACTAGAACGTGTTTTTGTTTTTTACAATTAAAATGGTCAGTTACCATACTATTGTTTGCAAAAAGTAAATTGAATTTTAAATAAACGCCGCCCTCGAATAAACATCGCACTTGAATCACGAAAATTTTAATAAACGCCGCGGCGTTTAATCGAATAAACATGATAAGTGAAAACACTTTATTAGCTCTATATTTAAGAGAGCTCCTTTGTAAGAAATTTTTATAAGAGTTGTTTACAGTCTGTTGGACCAAGTTCTATCCACCAATCTTTCGATGAAAGAATTTATAATTGGTGCCAATCCTGATCTTCCTGCAGCCAGCTAATTTCCCCAAGGTCTTGAAACAGGTAGGAAATCGACAATCATCCCTTCATATCTGGGGCTCTTCTGACTCGTCATTAAGTACTAGGCCTTTGCGGAAGTAGGCATCCGCCGGCACACATTACCATTTTAGAGTTATCCACAACAACTTTGTTTACCTCGCCCCTATTGTGTCCCCACCTCCCCCCTATTGTCAATTCCCCCCCCCCCCCACCCCACAAACCTCCCGTTCAGGAAGCTTTCAGTGATCAAATTTCATTGAATGGCTCTGCAGCTCGCAACAGAAATAAAAAAACAATGCCTATGAATGTTTTTTGTCTTGGTTTTTAATGAAAGAGAGACGCTCGAAACTTTGAAGTAATGAAAATCAAAGGGCTCTTGGAGCCAGCTCATTCATGTTATGGCTTAGGTTTGAATTGATTTCTTGGACTTGCTGAATATAGGTGCAGATGAATTCGGTTTATGTGAACTTTCAAGACTTTTGGAATAAATTTTCTTTTATTTTTGGGCAGTTGTGTGATAAGAAAACTTGTGCATTCGTAGTGATGGGGATCGGAAAAAAGTTTGTGTGGGCTGGAGGTGGGATGGGCAGAGGTCATTAGGCAGACTACGCCCTCAGTTGGCTGCAATATATCTCATAACGCTGACTGCCGCAATAATTATCTATTAAATATTCCTTGCCCGTTTCTTGATATCTTTTGTTTTAAACAAAGCGGCCATTGCATTTGATTTTTAACAAAGCGGCCACAATCGTTCCTAATAGAATTTCAAGTCTTCATCTAATCTGATTTTCACATATTAATATTTGCGTAGTCACCAAACCAACGAGAGATAAAACCACCAAAAAAGTTAACAAATGGCCAGTCACGAGGGCAACGCTTCGCTTTTCCCTATAAAAATTCTCCGGTTTCTCATGAAAACCAATGACAATATAAGACACTAAGGGGAAATCAGTATGTGTACACTTCTGAACGTTGAAAATTTATCAAGTCGAAAGAAAAGTTCTGGTCTTGGTTCGCATTTTTGTCAGCAAAATGAACACATATCGGTTAAAAAGATGAATTTCTCGAATATTGCGCAGGTTAAATATTCAATAGTGGCATCCATTTACATCCACATCTACTTTTAGTAAGTTGGTAAATTCTGTAAAGACATCACGCCAACCAACTCGCGCGGAAAATGAGAATACTAAACGAGGCTTGAAAAAAATTAAGAACGATTGTGATCAAGAGACAGGCAAGGAATATTCCACAATAGTGCAAATAATCGCGAAAGATGATCGCGGAAAAGCACTTGCGTGACGCTCGGTAAGTTGTAAGATGCCATGTTATCACGTATCAGACGAAAAAACAGTACAAATTCTCAGTCTGCATTTTGTACCCGGTCTGCGGTCCGTAGTCTGCATTTTGCACAGAGTACGAAGTCATCCAAGCGCTTGATACGGCTGGACACGGTCCTCAAATAACTCCATATTTCTCTTTGAAATATACTAATTTTTCATTGGAAAATATTCTACCTTCATTTACAATCCTCAAGCGCTTCTAAAAAGTGAAAAAATGCCAACGTTGTCCGTTTCGCTGGCCTTGTACACAGAGTGCGAAGAGATCCAAGCGTGACACTAAGAAAATTTTCACCAGACACTACCGGACACGGTCTTTAAATAACTAGACGTCCGGCAGTCTGATATTTTTCCATATTTCTCTTTGGAAAATACCAGTTTCTATTGGAAGTATTTTGTCTTCATTTAGAATCCTCAAGCGCTTCTAAAAAGTGAAAAAATTTGAATATTGTCCTTTTCGCCGACTCTTCATAGAGTACGAAGAGCTCCAAGCGTGTTCAGGGTGGCTCTTGAGAAAGACGATTTTAGAAGGTTTTTAGTGATCTGGGAATTCCGTGTTACAGGAAATTGGGTCGCGTCAAGGTTGAAAGGCGTTGCATCAAGGTTGAAAATGGGCCTTTAACTTGTAACTGTAGGATAAAAAGAGGCTCCGAAAACAACAGTGAAATAAACAAATTCTCCCAGAGTACCATTCTTTTTTATTATTATGATAGATTAAGTATGCATCATTGCAACAAGATTTCTTTTCCAGATTGCAGGAAAATGCGTTTCTGGGAGACTTATCTTTTAAAAAATTTCCCGGGGGAGCATGCCCCCGGACCCCCTAGAGGTTCGGGCCTTCGGCCCTCAATTTTCAAGGGAACCTGCCTACTTTAAAGGCAGTGCCCTTTTACTTCAAAGTTGTTTTATCGCAAATACAAATTGGTTAGCGTCTTGTTCACTTTGATTGCCTCAGCAATACATGTAGCACCCGCAGCACTAATACCATTCCCAGACAAATCCAAATTGGTTAGCGTCTTGTTCACTTTGATTGCCTCAGCAATACATGTAGCACCCGCAGCACTAATACCATTGAGAGACAAATCCAAATTGGTTAGCGTCTTGTTCACTTTGATTGCCTCAGCAATACATGTAGCACCCGCATCACTAATACCATTGTCAGACAAATTCAAATTGGTTAGCGTCTTGTTCACTTTGATTGCCTCAGCAATACATGTAGCACCCGCAGCACTAATACCATTGTAAGACAAATCCAAATTGGTTAGCGTCTTGTTCACTTTGATTGCCTCAGCAATACATGTAGCACCCGCATCACTAATAACATTCTCAGACAAATCCAAATTGGTTAGCGTCTTGTTCACTTTGATTGCCTCAGCAATACATGTAGCACCCGCAGCACTAATACCATTGAGAGACAAATCCAAATTGGTTAGCGTCTTGTTCACTTTGATTGCCTCAGCAATACATGTAGCACCCGCATCACTAATACCATTGTCAGACAAATCCAAATTGGTTAGCGTCTTGTTCACTTTGATTGCCTCAGCAATACATGTAGCACCCGCAGCACTAATATCATTCCCAGACAAATCCAAATTGGTTAGCGTCTTGTTCACTTTGATTGCCTCAGCAATACATGTAGCACCCGCAGCACTAATACCATTGTCAGACAAATCCAAATTGGTTAGCGTCTTGTTCACTTTGATTGCCTCAGCAATACATGTAGCACCCGCATCACTAATACGATTCCCAGACAAATCCAAATTGGTTAGCGTCTTGTTCACTTTGATTGCCTCAGCAATACATGTAGCACCCGCAGCACTAATACCATTCACAGACAAATCCAAATTGGTTAGCGTCTTGTTCACTTTGATTGCCTCAGCAATACATGTAGCACCCGCATCACTAATACCATTGTCAAACAAATCCAAATTGGTCAGATTCAAACCAGTTCCAAACGACTTCGATAAATGCGAGTGAAAATCACTTTTTTCTCTTTTGCATTCGTTGATGGCCTCCAATACAATTTTTGCACCACGGCCTTCATTTTTGTTGACTTCATTTGTTAAACTCTTTACAAGAGCCACAACCTGTTCATCGCATTTCATGGCCAAAATTCCACATGAAAACAAAAGTATTTGTTTAAGTTCAACGAAATACCTTGGATCGGAAACTAGTTCTTCAGGTTTCATCTCCTTGCTTTGAATCTGAGAACAAATGAAGAATGCTGCAAAGAATTCTTGAAAACTTTTATGTAAGAAGGCATAGTGCAGTGTTTGTCTCAGTTTGCTGCCACCAGGCTGCACTGACAGAAATCCAAATTCAGTCAGGTCTTTTGCATGGTTTCTCAATTCACTTTCATTAAAATCCAACTTATCGTCAAGTAAACCATTCAACGCTACCTTTCCAAGGTGATTCAATTGCGGTTTGTAATGGTTTGTCAAGTCTTCGATCTTTTCTAGTAGTCCCTTCCTTTTTCTATATCTTCTCAAAACACATTCAACCATATCCAAGTACAGTTGAGCTCTGCTTTCGGGGAGTGTGCCCTCAAACTCTTCGCATAAAAGGCAAAGAAGTGCTGTGTTTAGAGGATTGGCCGCTATTTCTCTCAGGTTTTTATCTCGCGACATCCGTTGCAAGAGCTTGGTGGCTAAATCCGTCCTTTCTTTAAAGTACTTGGTGACAAATCCTTTCACATGCTCTTCAGTAAATCCTTCGATCTGAAGCAGCGCGTCACAACATTTTCTCACCTCTTTTCCAGCTTCGTGTCTTGCTGTTGCAACTATGTGGCATTTGGGGAGCACTCTTCCTTCAATTAATTCGGAAAACATCGACAATTTACTGGACGGTAACTCATCCAATCCATCCAATATCAATAAAATGCTGGACTGATTTTCACGAATAAAACGAAAGAATTGTTGTTTGACTTCTTCATCGATGTCTCGGGGCAGAAGCTGATCATCAATAGCTTCCCAAACGTCAGAATGGATATCTCGACATTTCAGTAACAATACCACTTTAAATGCTGTTGAGCCGCAGCCCTGAGGTTCTTGCTGTTTTGTGGCCCAGTCGTAGGCGTACTTTTTACAATAGGTGGTTTTTCCCATACCAGGTTCTCCTTCAATCAACACTGTTCTCGGCGCTGAACACTCTTCATACGGGTCTAGTATTGACGACATGTCAACAAATACGTTACTGATTTCTCCTCTCGTTTTCTTTCTTCTGACCACTTTGAGCCTTGTAAAAATATTTCCAAGAAAAAACTGAAACTCTTCACACCATGGAAATGGTGAGAGCCATCCCTCGCGAGTCTTGTAAAGCTGGCGAATTCCATTGATAAGTTCAGTCGGATCAAAAATACCTAGCAGTAGCAAAATAAGTAAGAAATCTAATGAATGCAGCATTAAAAATTGTGGTGCCTCTCTGGTATTCGGCACTGGATTTAAATAAGTGAATGAGTACGATACCGTTGCCAAAGAAATTACTTGGACGATGCAAAAAGCTTTTAGTGTATGATTCATGCTTACTGATTAAAAGCCATTTAGATTATGAATTCAGGTAAACCTACTCTGTTTGTTCGGCTTTAAAGGTGTCTGACAGTGAAACTCTGTCGTAAAATAAATTACTCGGGAGATAAATATTCGTATCATTGGAGCCGTAGTCTGAGAAAGGCTTTTTCGGGATTTACCGAGACTACGAACAAATAAATGGAAACAAAACAACGCCTTTGTGCCTTCTTTGTCACGCGGTTTCATCAAAAGTGCTGCAGAAAACCGGGGGCTCGCCTGCGATGAAGTGGGAGGTTTTTCCTACAGTCTTTTCCTTAGGAACCTATTTTACTCAAGACGATCCTCATTCAACTATTTTCCCATGTAGAATTGAATACTCCACAATATGAGCGCAGGAAGGGTTTAGTTATTTTATTCAGAAATATGCGGATTACATCTAATGCTACTAGGTATTCGGCACTGAATTTAAATTAGCGAACGAGTACGACACCACTGCCAAAGAAATTACTTGGACGATGAAAAAGGTATCAATGTATGATTTATGTCAATTTACTGACCAAAAGCTATTTGGCTTGTAAATGCAGTGGAACCTGCTCTGTTAATTTCTAACATCGAGCCAATGTTAATGCCAATGTTTTCGTTAAAACTGTACTTCGTTTTATTTCGTTCTCCACTCTAATCAAAATATAAAGTTTTCCAGGCTAATTACGGGTGAAAGTTTGAACAATTGGAGGGAATGAAAGCACACCGTAGAGATTATTCCAGAGATTGTCTAAATTGAAAAACTGAATCTCTTTCACATAGGATGATCTCTCCCTCTCTCACATACAGGCCATGTTGACTACGGCGAAATTCCTCAAGGCATTATAGACCTTGTTTCTGGTGCACAGCTGTTTTCAAACAAGGCGCTCATTTTTAAGGGTATATCGGCCAGAATGTTTTATTATCATGAACTGTGGGATAGGGGGTTAAAATCTCCCGATGAACCCCTTGGATGCCCCCGTCTAAGTATAAAGAGGGTCGTAAAGGGGTGTTGGCATGGCTTTTACGGCTAACGGTTAATATCTTTTCATCGTTGTCACCATAAATTTTTCTCACGGTTAAATCTTTTACTACTAGAGATTAAGATTTGTCGATTTCAACGCCTAACGGCTAATTTTTTGGCTGTTTTACGGCTAACAGTTAACTTTATAAAGACCCTCTATTAAACACTGTTACTGCCAATTTGTGACTAAGAAAAATGAAAACTGTGATCAAAAGTATTTAACAAAATCACTGAGAATAGGAACTGATCAATTATCAAACACGATTGCGAAAAAGATCAAAATTGTGTCTTTTTCCCGTTAAGTGATTAATTATGTATGAGACATGGACTATGATTCTCATTTCAAAAATGTCAATATTAATTAAAAATATATCTCTAATCTTGCAGAAGATGGTGAGAGTTAAAGTACTCAGTCTTCATGCGACTGCCGAAAATTCAATACGGAAATCGAATACTAAGGGAGAATTAACGAAAGTGAGATATGGAGACCGAATCGGCATTTACTCAGAAGATTCAAGTGTTCCAACTCAAGAGAATGAATCTGGTTTTGTACGTCTCGCTTATATAACCAAGGATGGAATTGAACATGTAAAAATAACTTATTTTATTATTTTGCAACAGGGAACGTCAGGCTTGTGTGTCCATCCCTTTGGAAAGATGGATTTTCATCACAAGATTCATACCAGTAGAGCCAAAGCTTCTTTCTTTAAACGGTAAGCTATCTGTGCGCGATAATCAACTTTTCATGAACTGATATGGAAAACCAATCAGCAGTTTACTTCGCAGTGAATCTATTTCGGTTTTGCGCGCTCACCTGTATAACTTCAGATGGATTTGAGCATGCAAAAATGAAATATTTATTCTCTTTTAACAGGGAACCTCAGGCTTTACGGTCCATCTCTTTGGAACTGTTTGATTGCCATCACAAGATAAATCACCCTCTAACTGAAGCTTCTTTCTTTCAACGGTAAGCTATCTGTGCGGAATAATCGAATAATTGTCTTCGTGGACTTTTCATTTTCTATTGGGTGTGATTTGCACGATCAAAGACATAACTAATAACGGTTATAAAATAATTGAGATACTTCGCACGCTCTCATAGGTCATCTAGTCAGTTGAGAACAGAGTCTGTAAACACAGCTAATTGTGACGCACACTTTTAATGTTTGCCAGCGAAATTTGAAAACATTTCAAACTCAAAGTTTTCCCAATACTCGCAATTAATTTCAAGTAGAAATAACAGATATTGGAATTGGAGGAAAATTTGCCAATTTTTTATCTAGGGTTTGGCTACGTCCCATTCTACTGTCTTCTCTCTGAGCCGCATGCTTAGCACTGCAGCTTTTAATGCATCCTGCTCCGGCAACCGTGCACGGCCCTTGCGTGCGCGCAAAAAAGTCGCATACACGCGTCTAATTACCCTGCGTCCAAGCGTATGAAATTCGTCTGCGCAGTTAACGCGAGCGGTACTGTAAGGTTTAGCCTCATACAGTACATGTAGCATAATATTTCATTTATATTTCTATTTATATTTCATGTAATAAAATACCGGGGGTTACCCAAGGAGAATTGAACTTTTATGCTCTTTGCCTTTGATGATATTTACGGGAAAGCAGTCTTGAAAAAGTCTGGTAAATTCATTCACAACGTCATTATAAGATACATTGGGGTCTTCCTTATTAAGAAACGTAGACCAGTCCGTTGGGAGAGAAGGTCATTAAGTTTATTTAAGTTGCTTTCGTTAAATGAACGCTTAAAAACTCTTTCCCTCTGATCGGAGGCAAATGTTCATCATGAAAATATGGAAAAATCGGAAAGTGATCTGATAGATCATCAGAGGATATTATTCACCTTTTTGCGCACACTTAGAATTTTAGCACGCGCGATAGTTGAATGCTTCTTTTCTTTGATAGATAAATAATCTGAGAGCTGCCGATTCGTAATTCAATAGTCCGTCGAGCGAAAAAGTAAAAAACCATTGGTGGACGGAAAGTGGCCACCTCCAAATGTTCGCGCAGTTCCGCTCTCCAGTCTTCTTGTCGCACGTATGACTGCTCGTACCTAATGGTTTCCTATTTTCGCGGGACTTTCAAAAATTTAAAAAAATTTGGCGATTTTCAAACATTCGCGTACTTTTAACGTTGTTGATGTATTTTTAACCTCTCTCTGCGTACTTTTTTAGGCCAAATCGCAAAATTTTTTATCGGACAGTTTGCCTATCATACTCGTTATAAACAAATCAGACTTCCGCTGCGCGGTTGTCCGATTTGTTATCACTCATATGATTACAGACCAAATTGGACTCCACTCAGTCCTATTACCAATACTTACTATGCTCACAGAGAATCAACTCTAAAGATCAAGTGAATATGTGAAAGCTATGTATATCATGCAATTATTCTGCTCTTGAAGGTCCGTTTAATGTCGATATCGATTTCAATAATTGAGCCGCTGTTTTTTCACCATTCTCATATTTCTCCCAAAATCTTAACACCTTACTCTGTAATTACCTATTAGCCCTTCTTTGGATTCTGGTCAGCTTCTGGTTAGATACTAATCGTAATTGTATTGCAAAAGCGTTTAGAAAGAGGTACCAAATGTAAACACCTTCAAAAGTGAGCCACCGAAGCGGGAATCCAGAATGACGCTGGTTGTCACACAATAATCTTGTTCGCGTCTAAGGCTCTTTTGGTCATTGGCGATGTTCACCCTGCTTTATTCGCCTTGACATTCTTACAAATTTTGTTGGAAATAAAAAGAATTGTTTTTTACCAAGATCTTGGCTATAAAGCCAAGTTTTTCTTTTAAATCTGACCGACTGACATGATGAGTCTTTACAATGTTGTTGTCACACAACAACTCTTCGCGTCTGAAGCTTTCTTAGTTATTGTTTACCTTGCTTTATTCGTCATGAGGTCCTTATAAACTTTGTTGGAAGAAAAATAATTTTTTTTTTACTAAAGATATTTTACTTTTCTATAAGTTTAACTTCTAATAAGTTGTAGTGGATTGAAGACCAACTCGCAGACGTTTCTACTCGATTTTATACGTCGGCGAGTTGGCGTTGGCGAGTTCAATCGGCGACTTGACCGTAATTCCCAGTTTGAGCTGTTCTGACCCAACTCAATGGTTGATTCGTTCCCGCCCCAAAATTAAGTGACCACCAAAACCCGTCACCCACGAGTGAGTAAAAAGGTGTCAATTATGGTATACGGAAAGTTAGTGGAGAGTCGAACCAGTATTAAAGAAACAAGTAAATTTTTTGGGTGCATAATTGTGACCCTCTTAGCAATAAAAGATCAGACCCCACATTTCTGATTTCAGTAATGAATTTGATCATGTGAACCAAACAGTACCGATGAGACTCTCTTTAGAATTATGAAGTGTAATCTACTAACAAACAGCACTCCTTTCCCCTCCCCCATATAAATTTTTGTGGGTTGTCTTCTACATGTTCATGCCAAACTTCTTTTTATTGAAATAATTATTTCGCTGACTAACAATTCTGCACCAGTGTTTTGGCTTTGGTAATTGCTAGCAGTTCTACTTTACAGTATTTACTTACTTTGCGGTGAGTCATCAGCCCTAAAGCCTTCAAGGTCTCCAATCAAATACTGCAGACATGTTTCCCTTTTACACCACAAGTGCAGGACTTCAAATATGCTACACACCA